CAACTTGGATGGGGGAAGCAGCTTGTCCTGCCATGCCAGCCTTGGGGCCCCTGCTCCCCAGCCAGCCCAGACACCCTGCCAAGCATCCTTGTCCCTCTGCAGCTACCCCATCCTGATCTGCCCTGGGGCAGCAGCCTTCAGCTGCACAGGTATTTCAGGGAGTGGACAAGCTGGGAATAAAACAAGCACTTTGTAAACTCTGGAGGGTCCAAGCTTGGGGTCTACAGCAAGGCCAAGGTTGGTTTGCTAAGCCCACCCTGAGGCCCTCTCCACTCAGAACCAGCGTGCTTCATATGATCTCCATGTCACCAGAGTCAGTCTCCTTTGGAGAAAGATTCTCATTGGAAAGCAAGAACATTCCTTCACTCTTTACAAAGATTTGGCAATACACAGAATTAAAAAAAATAAATCATAGTTACAACAGATTCAGGTTCATTTCATTTAAAGGAAATTCAACCAACAGGAGTGTAAAAGTTATAATTCACAGTTGTGCATTTAAGATATTAGTGTTGAAAACCTCACTTCAAAGAACTCTTGTGCAAAATTGTATTGACAGTAGAAATCATGGCTAGATGCTCTTCCAGCCTCCCCCAGCCAGCAGGCCATTGTCTGCCCCTCTGCCTGCACCTGGAGGCAGATGGACAAGGGGAACAAAGGCTGCAGCAGGAGTTGACATAGGAAGATGCAGTATCCTTTCTATGAGTCAAAGCCTTGCCGAGGTCTGAGGTCAAGCCCAACAATTCCCAAAGCCACCAGCTGATGCCCTGCTCCATGGTGATGACCAGCAGCCCTGTCATGTATCCTTAGGGCACTATGGAAGGGCATCTGGCATCTGAGCCCACCTGAATGCAGGCAGGCAGCCAGCGAGGCAGAGGAAGCAGACCTGCTCTAGCAGGACAACCCCTGCAAGGGCACAGATGCAGGTGTCACAGCATCTCCATTGCAGTGGGGAGAGGCAGGCCCTGGTGCTGGTAAACACCATCCAGAGGCTCAGCAGTGATGCTGAGCTGGGCACCGGGCTCCTCTGGCTGTGATGGTTCCCACCACAAGGGCTGGGAACCCCTTGCATTTGTTAAACAGTAAAACTGTAAAGACCCTGAGAACAGGGAGACTGGATACTTTCCCCTCTGGGGAGAGGACGATGCTTTGCTCTTCAAGCTAATTAGTAGTAGCAGCTCCTAACCCCCTGTGGGTCAGGTACATATTTTCCATATGAAACACATCAATGATCAACTATTTTTATGGAAATTATTTCACTTTCCATTATTGGATCTGTACAAATGATGAAAAACAGTCATGCAAAAAATCGCTTGCAAATTTTGGAACAGTGCAGCCTGGGCAGAAGCAGGAGGTATTTGCTTTGGGATCACATGGCTTTGGTTGGAAAAATTGGCGCCTTTTTTTTTTTTTTGCCTTTTTTTTTTTTTTTTTAAAGAGAAACAGACACTGAAACAAATCCATAAGCTGCCATAAGAGGCAGAAGTCAGATCCAGTGAGCAACCTCATCCCAGAGAGCTGCCCTGACTTGAGCCCTCCCTCTGTCGGCAGGTTTGACAAAACGGATACTGCATCTCAAGCTCACCACTGTGTCAAACACTTCAGACAAACTTTTAGATTCAGCAACGCTAGATAAAATCTGGCAAGGTGAGTCTGAGGACAAACCGAGGACAAACGCTCTAACATCTCAACATTTTTGTTTGCAAGAAAGGTGCAATATTGGCAGCTCTCTAGGACAAATGGGGTTTAGGTCAGCCCGTGCCAATGTTGAGCTGTGCGCTCTCCACAGAGGCAGGCTGGTGTGCATCAGAGCAAGGATGGAGACTAAGGCAATGCTTTTAGATGGAAGTCAAAAAAGGTTAATGAAAAGCAAAATGTGTGAGTAAAGTTTTGGGTACCCCTTTTCCTCCTCACTGGGTGCACACCTTAGATACTGTGCATTCTATGCCCCCTTGTGGGGACTCGATTCTCATGGGTGACTCCAAGGAAGAAGTGCACCTTTCCTACCAGGGAGGACAGCAAAGACTGTGGCTGCTTTCTGAAGCTGAAAGAAACAGCTTCAGAGAAAGCAGATCTAGTTGGCTCTGACACCACGCACACCAACATCCTCTGAGGAGATCCTGCTGAAAAATATTGCACCTTTCCAGTCACCATTCGCAAAGACAGACCACGGAAATTTGCGGCAAGTGCCTTCCCCAGCCCATGAGCAAGAGAGGTGGGGCAGGCCTGCGGGCACAGAGAGCTCTGGCAGTTGCATTTAGGGCTGGGGTCTTCAAGGGTCAGATGAAATTATCTGGTTGTAAAAAATGGAAGGGAAATGTTACACAGCCAGGGGCCACAGAAGGGTCTCAAAATGGAGAAACCACAATGCCTCATTTATTAATCCAGATACCAAGGGCAACATTCACATTTTGATTGAGATGGCACTGGAAGGGGAGAAGATTGGGGGGTGGGAATTATTTTTCATTTGAGGACTTAAGACTCTATCTGTAGGAGTGGGGAATGTGTGATGCACAACTGCTTGTACCCAGCCTGCATTCAGGTTTTTGGGGTGGAAGAACTGATTGCTGCTGCTCACCTCAGGGTGCCATGCAGTAGCAGTAGCTGGGTGGGAGGCTCTCCGCTCTGCTACCATGGTAATCCCTAAAATGGCTGTTAAAAGGGGCAACAGAGAAGGAAATGCACTAAAATCCACTCAAAGGAAGGGATATGGCTGGGAACAGCCTGGAAACAAACCTCTCCAAATCCCTGAAGTGCAATACACTTGCGTCTGAAAAGTTGTGTCAGTTCTTGGAGGGGAGAGGATGGTCCCAACTCCTCAGCAAAGCCCATCCTTGCACTGGCAGAGGTTTACTGTCACCTGGAGGATGTACTTGGGGCATTAATTGTAGCAGCAACTTTTGTGTTAATAACTAGAGATTAAGGGGTGGGGGCAGAACTGATGTTCTCTGTTACTCAGCAAATACTGCACATCTGCCCTGGCCGAGGTGGCAGTGCGCAGGCTGCTACAGCATGCAGGTGCTTAAAAGCCTGTTAGTTTGGGGTGCACACATTACTTCATCATGCAACAGTCAGGAACATCAATGAAAAATCATCCAGTTACTTCACTACAGAAAATTATGCCCGCCTTTCATTTCACAAGACTGCAGTTTTGCTAATTAAATCCGTCCCCCTCCCCCCAGTATCATCTTCAACATACACAAAGTTTTCGGAGGTTACAAAACTGTGAGTGTAACAATGCTTTCTTGCCTGTTTTGCAAAGAAACCTTCTGAATTCTGAGAGATCATTAAACACCAAAGTAACCACTGCTTTCCCTGAAACTTAACTGGAAGAATGTAGTAATACTCAAATACTCATCCCTTGGCCCTCCAGGTGGCTGAAACTAGAGGTTCCTTGAAGCTTGATCATTCTTAAGACACAAGTAACATACAAGTACCAGGTAATAACTTCTTCAACAGAGCAACATAAAGGACCAAAGAGACGTGAAAAGAGGCCTAAGGACATTGGAGCCAATTCACAGAAACACGACAAAGCTCATCTGAGGTTTAAGAGGGACAGAAACAATTTAAAACTCTACAAAATACTTTTTAAAAACATGATCTCTCTTGAAAAAATAACCGGAGGAGCTTTTAAACTTCTCCATATGTGTTTGAGGAGGAAAAACCCAACAAGGATCAAAAATACAGATAAAAAATAAACATGATTCTACTTTGCAAGAAGTATTTTAATCGTTCTCAAGGGTGGCTCACCATTCCCAAAGTATGCTTGAGGCTTTAGTGTCTCTTGCTCTTTGCTCCTTTCTTCCTGTTTCTTCCTCTTCTGCTCCCAGAATGGATGCAAAAGTCTTTGGTCTCAGAACACTGGATGCAGCAGCACAGTGTTGCAAGCACATACTAACGGTGTTCACACTCAGAGAGGAGGCAGGAAGGAGCGAGGGCTGGTCCTGCTGAGGAGATGGGATGGGTGGGTTGTGGGGAGTCAGCTCCTAGATGGCTCCTTCACTGTGCATACTGTGGTTGGGCTTGTTGTGAGTCACACAGTTCTGTTCGCTCAGCAGGTTTGCGGTCTCGTCCGGCAAACCGTCATGCAGCTCCGTAAGAGTCAGTTCGATTTTAGTGTTTTCACTGTCCGAGGACTGAGGTGTTTTGTCCATCCGGGATGCCATCAGGGCATTTTGGTACTGCTGTCTTGAGATCTGCTCCGAGAACAGAAGGAAGGAACAAAAAACAGCCAGTCACACTTTGGTCTCTCCTGTGGGACACGCTGAGAAAATAAAGCGCCCAGATGACCACACTTCAGCACCTGTTTACTTGTTTCTATAAAACATCCCTGTGTTTTTCAAGTCTAGAGCATCCCAACTCAACACCACAGCATGGTGACATTTCCAGACAGGGTGGGAGCACAAAGCTGTGCAATCACTATGCTGTTCAAAGGCTGGGATTTAATCCTATGCAGATATTTTAAAATCAGATCTCCATTTCCCTCTAACCATGCACAGAACCAGAGTTCAGTGAAGTCTTTCTCCCAGCTTCAGTGAGCTCCTGGTGAGGCTCTGAGAGTCCCTATAGAGCCAGAAGGTGCAAGTGTTACTGCTCTTGTCTAGGCCAGCAAACAGAGTGAGTTACAGCCTTATTCTGATACATAAGGATATTTGATTCTAGGGAAGACTGGGATCTCCATAGAGATGGGTCCAAACTAGCAGCTCATGAAGTCTTCCATTGGTCTCTGCAAGAGGTGGCTGTGCTCAGCAGAACAGTCATAACAGGAGCTGGCCTAGAGCAGAGAGCATTACTGCCCATGGTGCCCCATAGGCAAGAAAGCCTACAGCCCATCTGCCTATAGTGATAGAGGGGAGAATTCCTCCTGGAACCACAAGTAACCAGCCCCACTAGCTCCTCTGTGTCAGCCTTCTCAGCTGGGACAGGCAGCAGGATGCACATGCACTGGTAGCCCTGTGTGCTGCAACACAGTGGGTTATCTCAACAGGCAGGAAGGTGGAAGAGGTGAGACGAGACCTGTAGAAAACCCTAAGCAATGCAAGTGATGGACTGGAAATGGAAAGAGTCAGATGGACCAGGTCACAACTCCAATAGCAAAATCAAAACATGCACGAGCAGGTCACAGCCCTGGATTACAAGGTATTAATTGAATAAGTGGCCACATGGAGCAGTGAAAACACTAATGTTAAGTACTCTGTTCTGTGTGTAAAGCACAGTGATGCAAAAAGAGGTGTGCAAGTCTGATGGCAGAGACACCAGACAGTTCAGCATTCAGTATGAATACAGAGTTGGAAGGACTCCACATAAACCAGCATAAGATGAGCAGCTGCTCTGTACAGCAGATTAGTCATTGAAACTATAGTAAGAGTCATCTGCCCAGTGATAAATATTTACTGATCTAAACCCTGAAGGCTCGAACCATCAACCAGTACACTTGCAACTGTCAAGTTTTGGATGCAAGACTGTACTCTCCTTTAAATTTGGCTATGGAATAATTGATTTAGCAATTCCACATTCTTAATATTGAATTAGCTTTGACAGAAATTGAGTTCACAAATCATTTGAGTTGCATACAAAGCAACTGTGAACGTGCACTTAATTTAAGAAAAGCATCAAGGTCAACTTCTAACCATGGGATGTCAGCTTCCCTGACTCCCAGCTGGGTTGGAATGGCTGCCAGCATTAGCTGTTCCTCAGCTCAGCTAGATTTCCTATCTCACAGGACTCGCACACGTTTCAGCGTGGGATGCACCATGCTGGGGACAGAGCTGGGGACATGCAGCAACTCACTGGTAGTATGAGACATGAGCTTAACATGTGAAGTTAAGATAAAGAGAAATGTCCAACACTTCTCCAAGCAGAAGAAGGATGACAAGTCGAAAAGTAAGATCAAGACCCCCAAACTGAAAGCAAAATCGAAAGTGAATAAAAGCTGCAACCAATATAAAATGTCTCATCCTTTAGAAAAGGACACTGTCTGATAATGAAGGGTCTCCATGATGTCTCCAAAGGCTTCACAAGGATGTATCTTTCATGACTAAAAGCAGAGAGTGGTTATTTTCTATAAGCTTTCCTTGAGGGATCTAGACTCCAGAAACTTGTAGGACCAATCTACTTATAAGCCTAGATGACAGGAACAGTGAAAGCAAATCAATGAACAGCAGGTATTGGGAAAAAGTAATTTAAAGTTATTTTTAAGCAGCTGCATTCATCATCCTATTTATTCACAGAGCAATCTAGAGGGACGTCCCTTCCCCAGGCTCCTCATCCTACCAGCCAAACCCAGCTTTCCAGTGAGGCCTTTTCAGCTTTTCCCTACCTTGACAAACTGAATGTCTGTGAGAGCTTTCACTGAGTAGTCCGGAACATACACTTGGAGGAAAGACGCGTTCAGCTGGTTGTTGCTGCTCCCTAATGTTGGTGTCACCGCATCGATGCGATCACTTCGGTTCAAAGAGTCTGAGTGATTCAAGCCACAGGGACGAGGTGGAGACTTGTTTTCAGCTGAGAAATGGGCAAGAGCAAGAGATTCCTTAAATCAAGTAGAAAAGCATTTAAAGTCACCAGTTTCAAAGGGACATAATAAATTGCGATGTAGCACAAAAGAACTGCAAATACTTCCTCCACTCATAACTTGACATGCAGCTAAACAACCAAATTATCCTGAAAAAGAGTATATTTTGAGTCCAGAGCTGGTGGCTGACATCACTGAGTATCCCTTAAACAAACCTTGTTTTGTTTATGCTGCAATGGGCATGCCCCATGCACCATTGGTCATGGTGCTTCGGCTGATGAGTGATAACCACCAGAGAAAGGTAACTTCCCATGACTCCTTACAAGAGCTCTTGACAGTCAGACCATGCCTCATACTTTTTTTTTTCCTTAATGATTCATAATCATAACTCCATAGAAGACCTTCCATCCACAATCAGTCCCAGCTAACCCTTACCCCCTTTTATTCCACCTGGTATCTACACATGCCTCGTTCCCTGAGTTAGAGCAGACATTTTCAAACTGATGATGGAGGCCTCAGTGGACCAGAGTGCTGCCCATGTGATAATGATTTCAGTGTTTCCTCTTAAGGGACAAAAACTCAACAAAGGAGAGCAAGCTCCATGTGGTACATGCCAGCCAGCAAAACAGGGAAAACAGACCACGCTAGAGAAAAATCTGTGTCTGGGAAAGGAGACATAATTTTCTATTGCTGGCCTTTAAGCACTGCAAGGTTTCAGTCACTTGAAAGCAGCTGTTCCCTGTGAGTGTGACTGGCCAGTTTCTCTCAAGTAAACATGCTTTCAGCAAGCCACAGGCATTTTGCATCTCTACCTTTCACCCATACAGTGACCCAGAAGACAGGAGGGCAGAAATACATCCTAAGAGAGATCCCAAGACCCCCTGTGATGGGCTTCTCCCTGGGTGCACACACAGTACATACTGATCACAGAACTGTCTTTGGGACTCACTGATTTTTGGATCTTTGTGCAAGTAAATTTCTTTCAGGCAGCCCAAACTGAAACTTGATGTAAACTCTGGTACTCACCACATGACCCCCATTCTCAGCTAAAATATCATATTCATATAAACTGAAGATACAAAGCCTCTTCAAGCAAGTCATCAACAGCACCCTTGCAAGATTTTACAATTCTTTTTTGAAGATTCTTCTATATATAAACTTATTTCTAAAATAAGAAAAAAGCTCCCTAAAAGTGGCCCTACTCCTGCCACTTAATCACTATAAATATGATCTCCCCTTGCCCAAATGATACAGCCTGCTCTACATCTCTCCATCTAGGCTTTCTTAAACCTAGCACTTTAGATGCTTTTAGATGAATGGCAGAATAGCCCTGTTTTTTATTTCCCACCTAAAATCCCTCTGATGTTGCCTTTCCTTCTATTTTAGGAAAGGGAACAGAAAAATACAGATTCTGACAACTTGGCAGCTTTTCTTTCATTTCTGCACTATGGAATTACTGCAGGTCTCTATGGCAACTCCAAGTACAGGTTTAGGGGGAAGCACTTGGAGCCCTGCAAGGTTTTCTTCCATACCAACTTAGCATCTTGAAAGTCACAGCAGGCTGCAATATCTGCTGCCAGGAGCCAAACCTCCATCTGCACACTGGGCTTAATGCTGTAATTCCCACTGGAGAACAAGGAATTGTGAAGGTTGAGTGAATTTGTCCTGTTTTTCCCACCTGCATACACAAAACACAGCTGTGCGTGACAAGAACAGCATCACTGCTGCTTGGGATAGAAGTCTCCAGCTTGAACAGCTTTACACTAGTGTCACTTTTATCTTCCCATTCTTTTCTCCAGGGTTCCTTTTATAATACACAAGCAACAAAAAAAAACAAAGGGCAGAGAGCAATGTGACAGAACACGTATTTAAAAACCAAACAAAGGGACAGGTGAAACAAAAGGACAAAACGAAAAAGTATGATTATTAAAAATATGAGGGAAAGGAGACCACAAATCAGGAATGGACAAGAGAAGTTAAAGAAGAAGGAAGGATACAGAAAGGGCAGATGACAGAAGAACATGAGACAGGTCTGTGTTTGCAGAGCAGTAGCCTGCCAGCTCCCTAGGACAGCCCACATCTGGACAGTTCTTTTCTACCAAGGTTTTCCCATTCCTTCCTATACAGGGGATAAAGAGCACAAACCTCAATACAACTGTATTATGAATTTGCGGTTAAACAACAGGATTCTTTTTAGAAAGACCCAGCAGAAGGGTCTGAGTTTCATCAAAACTGGTACCACATTGTCACAGTGACCAGTGACCACATCAGTTCCTCTCAAAGGAGATTCTTCTCATTATTTTCCATCAGTGAGTTTTTAGAATATTTTTAGGTGGGGAAAAAGCTAGGAAAATATGCTTGGCATTTATATTGGAAACAACTTGCATGTGCAAAGTGTACACTTGTTTGTAGCAAGAAAAGAAAAAAAAAAGAAGACCTGGCAAAATGAAAGAACCAAGTTAAAAAGATAATCAAAGCTGCCAAGCTTAAAAGAAAGCCATCAGGTAGTTTAATTAAAGAAAGATTAAGTTTCTCCTTCTTTTTTGAAATTTAGCAGCAGGAAACTAACAGGGCAGGAAAAAAATCCCCTGCAGGGCAACAACTTGTAGTTTGTTTGGAATGTGCATGAGACTAATTTAAGGACTGATGGTGAAATACATTTTCAAAAGTGAAAAAAGAAAAGGGAGAAAATACAGGAAGCAGATGGTGAAAGTTTATGAAATGCATGATATGTGTTAATGTTTAAGAGATGTTTTATTTAAATATGCGTATCATTATCGTTTGCTTTTAGTTCTAAGGAAAGAAATTTAATGTGAAAAAGAAAACTTCAAAAAGAAAAAATATGTTGACTGTAACCCAAAGTATTTTAGGATTCTGATCTTCCTACAGACTTTCTTGATGGGTTTCCATTTTTCTCAACTACTCTGTGCATGCAGTGTCTGCAAAGCTCAGTTCTTGACCTCTCCCAGTTTCCAACTGCTCAACCCTATCTCAGAGCTCTTTTTGGCCCAATTTGTTCTCTCCTTCGTCTCTGCTCTCCAAAGGGATTTCTGTGTCAGTCAAGTTGGTTATTCAGCACGGAAAGGTCTTAATCAAAATGGGAACCAGAAAACCCCACAGGAGGTCTCAAACCTTCTTGCACATTCCATTGCAAATCTGTCCACTCAGTAAATCCCTGAGCTGGTCCATGGCATTAACCTCACTGAGAAAAAGCTCAAAGCTTTTGAGGAACTGAAATGGCCAGATTATATACACACCATAGAAATTACCCATATGAGAATATAAGAATTCTTTCATTAAAGAAGTTTTCCTTTTATGGCAGTTTAACAGCAAACATTCTCCTCTTTCTTCAAAATTTTTTAAGCCTCAGCCTGGGGGAGAATACCTTCTTATAAAACATCTCCTCTCCTAATTTTCCACCAGAACACATATGAGAAACAAGAACAAGCACACATTACCAAATACATTTTCTTCAATGTGTTTTTATTTCTTTCCTTTTTGGTGACTCTGTCGTGTTGCTACCAGTTACCAGAAGTGAAAGTTCAGGATACCTACCTGTGAGGCATAACTGTGCTGGACTTCTCCCTAACGAGCAAAGGGGTCAGATAAATATTGACTGCAGCTGATTTTTTATGGCATCAGGGCAGTCACAAGAATGGTGAAAATAGAAGCATGCGGATTTACCTGGAGAACCTGCTGCTAACAACTCTGTTCTGCTGACAACAAAGGTACGAGACAGGGACAAGGGAACTAGAAGAGGGAGAGAAAAAGGATGAGATCACGACCAGAAAGGCAGCAGCTATCCACACTTGACAGGGGAAGGAGCCAGTTCACACACTGGAGAACTAAAACCAAAAGTGCAAATCAACTGTGAAAAAGTAAAGGGTTAAAACAAAAGCAAAACCAAAAAAGACAATTAAACAATTTTAGGAATAAACCAAAAACAAGCCAAAGGAATTACAGTGAAGTGAACAATTTTCACATCCTAATGTGAATGGTTATCTAGCACAGAACAGTCCATCAAGGTACACTCAGTCTTAAAATAGTTCAAAATAAGCAGTGGTGCTTACTCCCATCTAGAAGGCAAAAAGTTAAAACAAGCCAGAAAACTATCGTGGGTGCTGATCCTTATGGGAGTCATACAAAAATAGAATAAACCCAAAGGATTCTTCATAGTTTTTCAAGTTTTCAGTAAAATGTCAAGCGAGGTGATTCTCCCAGCTCACCCCTGTCAGAATGCTCATCATTACTGCAAATCCCTCCTCAGCTGCAGTTAAAGAAAAAAGCTTCACATTTATTTATGTATATAGGTTTTTTGGTTGTTGTTTTTTTTTTTTTGGTTGGTTTTGTTTGTTTGAGTTTTTTGGTTTTTTTTAAATTCTTTACTCTCCTGTTACTGACTTCACATTCCAGGTGGGAAGAGCAGGCACATGAAGTCTAATTAGGACACACAGAAGAGCAAGAGTTTTCTCTTGTTCTGCAATGACTGATACTTTCACTGAACTTTTCTATCTACACAGAGCAACAGGAACTTATTTTTATGAGCTCATCCTAACAGAAATCTCAGAATGCTGCAAGATATCATAAAACAAATTCTCCAAAACCTGGAGGGAAAGCCAGCAAAAGGAGGGGATTGCTACTGGTAAAAGCCAGCCAATCAAGGGAAAACAAGTCCAAGGTTGGCTGAGATTAATTTAAAATAGTGCATATCCTTAAGTTTGACATGACAAAATGCAAGATGGATTTCAGGGTACACAAAGAGGACACCATTTGACCTCACAGGACTTGGGCAACTGGCATGGTTGTGGTGAGGTTTAGCAACACAAAAAAAACCCACCACTTGAGAACATTCAAACTGAACAATGCTGTAAAACAGAGACACCACAAGAGATTTCCAAGTGGAGGTCTGGTAGGAGAAGCAGCCATGCCCACCCCAGCCCTATGCCTGGCCCATATTGCAAAAGCAGAGCTGCAAGGCTGAGGGTAGGAGGTAGTTGCACACGTGTCAGGGCTCCTCACAAACACTGCCACTATCACACAGATAACATCCCCCCAGTGCTCTGCACACTTTCAAATCTGTCAAGCCTCAAAAGGTATAAGCTAGGGTGATCAAATTAAGGTGTACATCATTAAGGAAGAATTTGTCTTGCTTTTAAAAGCAAGACCACGTGTCCAAGAGAACTGCTGTTGTCTGTAGAGCTCAATAAGGCTACCCTCATAACTTAGAAAATAATTTTAATTTCAGCTCATGTACATACATACAGGTGCACACACGTAAGGGGAGGGCTCATGAGTATGCAATTAAAACGAGCTGCTTCTCAAGTGGAACATGAACCCTGCTGTGACAGCAGGACCTGATTTCAATGGGAGAAACTTCTCTCCCTGAGGCTGAGCAAGCAGCTTTGGGTCACTAGTTGGCCAATGCCAGCATCCCAGATCTCCCCAAAGGGGCTGTGGATTCCCAGTTCAAGTTGAGATCTTAGTGGTGGCACTGCTGACACCAAAATACATCCCCAAACGCTGAAATACAGCACTGGAGCCTACTTTTGGTGGGTCATAAACTAATCTCCCAACCTGTGCCTGTGAGGTGGTGGCTTGTGTGTCCGTGCCTGTGCCAGGAGCTGGCTCACACCTCGTGGGAACGGGCTGACACCCACTCCCAGACACCCTCCTCCCTCGCCCATTTCTTCGTTACATTTCCACACAACCCGGCAGACAGGAGCAACCTCTTTTCCTGCACCGCTGCCCAAGCCTTTTCCTCAAGACGGCTATAAAGCCGGACAGGCGAAGGGAACCCCCGCCAGCCCAGCCGGGCGCTTGTGCCCCGCACCACTAGGTGGCCTCGGCCGCTAATTATTGACTCCCGTTAATTCAGCCCTGCCCGGCCGGGAGCGAAACCGCGGAGCTGCCCTGCGGTACCAAAGGCATCACCCGCATCCTCCGGAGCTGGCGAAGCTCCGCCAGCAGCGGATCTGGGGGTCAGTGCCCCCCGGGCCCTCCCAGGGGTGCTGTGCCAGGCAGGTGGTTTCTCTGGCAAGGAGGAATCGCTTCCATCAGCCCCCAGACGCGGCCAGGGGATGTCCCGTGTGTGCGGGAGCACATTCCAGAGAGAGGACATACCTGGCGACGCTGTGAGGGCCATCACCCCATAGTAGGAGAAAGCACCAGCTTCAAACTTCATCCCCTCCTTCCCAGCCTCCACTTCCACTTTCCCCTGTTAAGGAAAAGGAGAAAGAGCTGCAATGAGAAGGGATCATAGGCCTCGAGGCACAAGCCCAGAAAGCTGGTTCTGCTTGACATTCCCAAGCAGTGTCATGGTCCCTGCAGTTTGTAACAGTGCCTGAACAGGGACAGACCCTGGAGGACAACACACTCCTCTGTCCTGAGCTGTCCTGGTCTTTGGTGCCCTGTGGCCAGTGTGAGACCCTGCAGAGGGGGGGGATCACCACAGCACTTTGGGGTGGTACTACTGCCCTGCTCCAAGTGCTGCCAGGCTGCCTTCCCTCAGTGCAGAGTGAAAAATACTCCCTCAGAACCACAACAAGCATATATGCAGCACAGACATCTAGGGTCTTGAGACACCTCCACACTTTGGGCCACAGGTCACATTCACATGCAGTGTCCTCTAACACAAGCATATGAAAGGGAGAGGGGAGACAACACCAGGAAGTTGTCTCCCTTCACAGATGAGATTCCCACAGAAACAAAGCCCTTATTCCTGAAGCATCAGCCTTGGGGCTACTTCGGTTTTCTTGTTTTCTAGCAGTTTTACATATCCCAGCAACCCTGACTTTAGATCTTTCACAGAGTCTTGCCTAGAAGGACCCTCAGAGCTCCCCAAGCTGTACAAAGCCACACTACCACACAAGTGCATCCCTTTCTGATGTGGGCTGAACCAAATGTTTAACATCACATCCTACAAAGGACTAGGACAGAACCTGCCACATCAAACATAGCTATAAACATCCCAGTGTCTTTGGCATACAAGCAGCCAAAAATAACTGGCTTCTTAATGGGGCCTGATTTTCACATCCATCCATCCTTACTGGTTCTGCACTGAGAGTTACAGCACATCACTGCAGACAGAAGAGGTTTCATGCAGCTTTCAGGCTGAACCACACAAAGGTTGGGATTTCAGACAAACAATTTAATAACCTGCAATGCTTTCCCTCTGGCTAGGGTGGAAAGGGCAGGCAGATTGCCCATCCCATGTGTACTAAGCAGATTGAATGCAGACCAGACATAATCAGGTCAAAATGAATCCAAAAGGTAGATTTTATTCCTATATGTTTATTTCATCAAGTACCATTTAAAATAAATAATCATGCCTTTAACTTAACAGTACTGCACTGGGGCAGAAAAAAAGTAAAAATGCATTTAACCTGCCTGAGCCCTGACACCAAGCCAGTTTCTCTAACTGTTCCAGATGAGAAAAAACACTAAATCTACCAAGCAGGAAGAGAGTGCCTAGCTCACAAATCCACTTTCCTGCTATCACAAGCAACCATTTCATATAATCCCTTTTAAAACCAATTTCACCACACAGCACACATAAGTAGCTTATATTTGCTCACTATAAGCCTTCCAAAAGGTCCAGTTTCATCACCCAGGCCAAGACTGGTGATAAACAGAGCTCTGAACCTACTTACTACTGGTAGTTATTCACCTGCCAATACCAGGCCTCTAAAATACATAGACAATGTTTACATACAGTCAGTTTGGAGTTAGTAGCTAAATACAAACTAGTAGTAGTAGGAGTTGAGTTTCAGTTCTAGGACCAGCACACACAGCACCTCCAAGCCTCCCAGTGGTGGCCACATGAAGACGAGGCATGCTTGGCATAGCCACAGTGGCTGAGAAGCCATTAAGAATTCCCCATGCATGGTACTGGATGTGTTCTGCCCTGTTAAAATGCATGCACATGTGGTTTCTGGTTTTCCACTGTTCAATGTTCCAACAGGAATTTTGAAAATACACAACCGCAAAAATAAATCTCAGGCTGCTACATCAGCTGAGAAAAGCTGTTGCAAACAGGTGACATTCCAGCTAAAACAGTAACTCTAAGGCAATTAAATTGGTAATTGTAATGCACAAAATACACATTTGATTGTGTTCTGGCATGCATTTACTGTGAAGATAAGGTATTCTTTGTCTCTTGACATGAGAGAGTAAATCCAAGTCCATTTAAGTAATAAAAGCAGAATATTTATTTATCGCCTCTTGATCCTTGCAGAACCAATTTTGTTACCATTTTAATAGTACATGCCTACGGCAAGACTCACTTTTCCAAATGCATTACAGAGCTAGCACATTGTGTTTGCTAAATACTTATTGATTGAAGAACAGCACAGAAAGAACTGGTTGTTCTTTTGTATTGCCCATGTCCTCCATTTACATCTTTGCAGCATTACCTCATTCGGGAGCATTATCTTGCCTCTGGAACATTTCAGATTGCAACAATTCAGCACATAAGAAAGAGCAGTTAGATAGCTACCAGTGGCTCCTCGAACCCTTGGAAAAAATGATCCTTTTTAAAAAGAGAATTGCATTGAATCCAAAATGCCATATTCCAGGGCTTTCTTAACTCTTTCACTGACAGTATTTAAACCTCTCTTCCCCCCCACCTTTTTTCTTTTTAAGGCCACTTTAAGGAAGATTACAAGCCCTGTGTTACAACTTGAGCTACAATGCTTGTGTTTTCATAACCAAAACTAAGTTTAGTCATGCAGGATAGAAACATAAGGGTTTTTCCAGCAAAATCTCTCTTGAAGGACTGTTCCTGTGTAAAGCTCCTCCCAGCCATTCAAGTGCTCCTGTCAAGTAACAAAACTTGGGAGATACCAGCACTGGAAGCAATCCCGTACAGAACAAGCATAAAAAAGTCTTTCCACACCACCTAGGGCTCCAATCTAAAAACCACCCAAATGCAGCAATCTTGGGGTAGGGTTTGGATGGCAGGGTGCCCAGAAGCAGCAGGGGCTGTGGCAGCAGCTCAGCAGACAGCACAATGCCCCAACCAAAACCTGCACTTCTCACAACACCGAAGCCTGTCTGACTTCAAAAATGGCACAGAAAAATGTCATTTCTCTAAACTCCAGGCCTCCTTTTGCAAAAGGAAAAAATACATTAGAGAAAGCATCCTGGCCAAACTCCTATGACATGCCAGTTTTTGCACCCCTATTTTCCAGCCAATACCAGCTGTACATGCAGAAATTCCTTTGTATTGCCTATACTAGTGATACCTAAAGCATAAGTAACTTCCAGCTTATGACTGAGAAGTGGGAAGTGCTGTCTGCCCTTCACAACTGGTTTAGTTGAGGCTGAAAGCAGGTCAGTGAGCTCTTCAAGGTTGGCAAGTTCGTAAAGGAGCCAAGAGCAGTTCCCAGGAGCCACTGCTCCATCCCTATGTTTGAAAGAAGAAAAACTTCAACAACTGGAAGAGGTATAGAGAGGGACATGTCAGGAGATGAAAGATTTTGCACATATCTACATTATCACGTGTCTGACCTGTAAAATGAGAATAAAGTAGTCGACGGGCTTGTTTCGTTGGTAGAGGTAGTGTTCTGGGGCTTTCTTGTTCTTCTCATCGTATTTCAGCTCCTGGATGACGTTGGGATGTTTTAGCAGCCTGAGAAGGATCTTCTCTGACATCTGGGATGGACCAAATGCTTCTACTTCTATAACACAAGATACAACTTGGCATTACACTTCATATGCCTGGCAAGAAGTTAGCAATACTCGTTAATAAGTATTTGCCTATAAAAGACCCACAGATGCAGAGAGATCCATTATGGAATTGCAGGCTTCCTGTCTTTTGAGACTGTTAGGTTTGTAAGGGGGGAAAAAAACAAAGGAATGCCCCAACTTTCATTACTGAAGTATTTTTCAAAACAACCAGAAACCATGTCTTCAGCTGAAAGGGAAAAGAAAAAGGCAGTCTTGCCCTCTTGAGAGTTCAGAGTCACAGCTGTATAGGCTCATTGGAGAGTTGAATAAATAGAAGAGCTTTACAATTGGGGCACACAGAACCTTTGAATTTGTTTTTTCTTTCCTCACAAGTTATTAAAGTTACTGTATTTATTGCACTTAAAAAAAAAAAAAAACATTTTAAAAAAATCACTGTTTGGAGCCTAGAAAGTTGCTCTAGATAGATGCTCTACATAAATCAAAGACACAGTTTGGGCTGCCACAGTTCATATGGGAATAGTTTAAGTAACTTACTCAAAGTAACTTAAAGTTACTTAAAGTGTAGGTCACTTCTTACCATCTGGGAATAGTGCATCAGAACACACTCCCTATGCACTTGCTTTTCAGTGTTCCCAACAGGAGCTGTTTGAAGCAGAAAAGCTCATCCTTGTATGGGAGAGTTAAGCCAGGGATGTTGAGATTTACACATGCAAATTCATTAGCTTTCCTAACACCTCATTTCAGATCCAGACTGTTAATGACCCAGTACCTTCCATCTGCTGCAAACACTATTCTCAATCTAGAACAGAGAAACCAAAACTGTAGCTTTCATCTTATTTAGCAGTGGCTTCACAGACAGACCTGGATTTTAGCTACACAGTTTTTTCATCCACAAAACAAGTAGAGGAGCAGCACTGTAAGACTAAGTCTGTTGCGCAGGTGTTTAGGAAGCTCCATCAAGTCTTGTACCACTACACGAGCAGTGCTTTCCTTGCTGTTAGGTCCGCGTCTTCCTGTTGAGCTGCTTTCTTTCACCAAGGACATGCTCACGTGCACATGAGCTGCGGAAGTCCAAGGCTTTTAAGGAATTACTGTCCCTCAGCTGAGATGTGATAACCACCCATGTACATGTTTCTTTCAAGTCACAGAGGCAAAATAAAGCATGGAGGTGGACTAGGAGCATCTATGCAGGCAGTTACTGCATCTTAAAGGAGGGGAAGTACTAATTTCCAACTGGAGCTGGGAAACTTGAGACAAAACAACTTTATCATTTTCTACCCTTGAACATATGTTGAACAGAGCAGTGAGAGATGCCCGTCTGAAAGGCCTGCATGTGAGAAGTCTTTGTATGTCAAAGAGAGACCGCATGAGCAATAGGAAGGTATGTTTTCCACAAGCTCTCCTGTTAACAGGTCTCATCTCTGAGGTGAAGGAACCAACTTTACGACGAAAGGCAGTATCAGCTGCAAGAAACCATTCAAGGCCCTGGCCTCTCTGCCAGACTTCCCACTCAAGGGCTAAAGCATCAAGGTGTTCAGGGATGGAGACAACTGTCCTCTGAAACCTGAAGTCATCAACGGAGGTCACAAGCCGCCAGAAATCCATTTTTTAAAGAACAGTTCAACCACCTGTGCAGTCTGCATTACATGTGTCGGGAGAGTTTTTCACTTGGAGTCAAAAAGTCTCAGAGAACAGGCTTAGACCTTCCTGTAAAAAGTCCAGCAACTCTTTCTGGAGAAGGCACCAGAGTGCAATTACAGTCAGCTGGCCAGTGGTATCGAGTCCTCTTTGGTTTGTTCCCTGAGCTCTTCCTAATGGGGTGTACTTGCTAGTCGTTAATCTGACGGACTCTAGACATGCAGTGCGGCACTTGGCATTCATCCTTACCTTTCAGACCAATTTAAAGTTACTGGTCCACCCCTGGTAAATGTCTCAGAGGGTTCATGCCGACACTGAACACAGGAGAGGAGAGAATTTAAAAAGAAAAACACAACAGTGGCATTATTTGTCACCCCACAGTCCAGCCTCCCTTCCCACCTGCGCTGTCCCGCCCGCTTCACCAGCCTTTGCTGACAAAACTGCCTCCGAGGCCCTGGCACGAGGACACAAACAGAACCTGCACTTGCCTGTTGCCAGGAACCGGTGCATTGCCAGGAGGAGCTGCGGTGATATTTTAACCTTCATCTCGCTGTCTGTCTGCTTGAAGGCAGAGAAGTCCTGCTTCCTGTCCCGATGAGCTACTTTCTTTTTCGTCTTGTTATCAGCTGGGGAAGGGAGGGTGGGAAGAGAAAGGAAGGAAGCGATTTCTGTTAGAATGGGGTCCAACATGAACTGAATGTCATCGAGTCAGGCAGGAGGGCCACCCAGAGCACCGGGTGTGGACAGAGCCCTCGTGCCAAGCCCTGCTCATAGGCACACAGCACAAACCAGAAACAGCCAGCCAGGTGTGCTGCAGGCTTCTCTGGCTGGGAGCCCCTGTCCTGCTGAGCCAGGCACCCATGGTCTCAGTCACTTCTCTGTCACTTCAATGGGGGAAAAGTCTCTGCTTGCAGACATCTAATTGCTCTGTGTATTACACATAAGGTGGGGAGGAGGAGTCCTGCTTGGTGTTACTAATGATCAAAAGATGTTGTTCTACAAGAATCTGTGATAGCTACTTTTTCCATAGATATTCCTTAGAAAATTCCTGGCAATTACATAAACTAAATATTCAGTTATTTATTTCTCATGGTGTACGATGGTTTCACTGAATCTTCACAGCTCTGGCAGAATTCACATGCTTTTGGTCCAAGGAAGTCTCTTTTGTCCTGTCCAAACTTCAGCAAAGGCTGGCAAGGTGTACAGCCTGGAGGTGGGATATCTGAAGCCAGAATGAAGTACAGAGCAGCTTCAGGAGTTCAGATAAAGGATTTGGTCTGCTAGATTCCTGTCCTTTATTCAGCTAAATACTCACCACTCAGTTCATCTGTGGTGGGAAATCCCCATTAGTGAAAGATAACATGAAAGATGGAGTTGCAGAGGCACAAACCATCCAGCTATTATCACCCACCCACTAAGCTCATCTGCCAAAATACCTAGGAAATCAGATGAGAGCATGTTGGGGTATGGTATACATCAGTTCCAGGGGGAAAAGGTGTCTGCTTAGATGGCAGGGTCTTGTTCTTTCTGCTGGCATAGTGTGTAAGATGGCATTAATGGGTAAGTGTGTAAGTAAGTGGGTAAGTGTGTACAATTAGTGTGTAAGATGCTTATGGGTATAAGCAGCAGAATGCTGTCAGACAGCTCTGAGCTCCACCACATATTGCAGGAAACCCAAGTCTTGAGGCAATTACTGTGAAGCCCTCAGACTTGAGGTACAGCTCAGATTCCAGGGCCTTAGTGGGAAAAAATACTGAAAACATTATAACTAATTGTCTACCAGCCCGTTAGTCACTGGTTTAAAATGACTGGACTTTTGAGGGACCACAGGCAGCTCTGGTACATTGGTTCACTGCAGAGAATTTGGGAAAGCTCACCAAGAGGTGGAGGTGAAGTTAACACTGTGGAACCTCACGCACACTCCCAGGTAGCTGTTACCGGATTTTGGGTTATGCATGCAAAGATAATTAAACTGAGGTACCATAGCAAGGAAGCCACTAAGATCTTGAGTCCTGTAGGTGTCTAAATATGTGCTACAGACTGGCACATAGTGGTTGAATTTGGGCCTTGGAAATGCACAACACTGGTAATGAACAGATTTCTAGATAGATTTTTCCCAAGCCACGTAGCCTTTTAGATATGAATACATTTAGATCTTTCACTTCCCATGGACAAACTTCCATTATAGGACTATCACAGAGTCAACAGTAATACTGTCCTAATAGTTATGTATCTACTGTAGATATCTAAAGCTCATTCTGTGAGCAGAGCAAATCAGAACATTTGAGATACTTGTTCTCAAGCCCATGGAGAAGAACAATGACAACCCATGCCCTTTTTCTTCTTTGAAACAAAAAGCCTCTTACCCTACTAGTACTTTACCCAGGACTTAGACTACATCAGGGACTGTAGTTTCTCTTCCAAAAGCAGGAACAGAAACCACCCAAGGGAGTGGTTATAGACAAAAAAACAATCCCTGTCTTAGGAATACAGTCTGAGACAGACTTTATCTGTACTTTCAGTTAAAGGGAAGATGGATACCAACAACAACAGCAACAGAGAGTGAATAGGAGAGAAGTCCCCCAAAAGTTCTCGTTAGGTCCTAACTCTTGTAAGAGGAAACTGTACTTTAAAAACAAAACAAAACAAACAACACAACCTCAGAGAATGCTGGGTTTTGTAATGCTGTGGCAGAAATGCTTTCTCACAGGGAGATCCATTATTGCTCTCTTCAGGGAGGCAAAAATTACCACAATAATAAGTTTTGTCCCTGAGACAAGGAAACATCTCTTCAGCAGGGCAGTAAAGCATCTCTGTATGTCTCCTCTGAACAAGTTGCAGACTTCACACTGCACTTCTGGTACCTCAAAACAGGGCCAGCATCGCACAATGGGATTAAATCTTTCTGTCTGCATCAGTCATCAAGATAAAAGATAAAGGTTCTTAATCCAATGATGGGTAATTTCAACTCCTCCAACTGTTTCCTTGGCAGCTTGTCCAGAAACCTTCCCCCAGGAAAAATGTTACATAGCAAGAGCTGAGCTTCAGTATAACTTTTGGCGAGATACCAACAAACTTTGCAACTGTCTTCAATAGCTTCTGGGAATATTTAGACTTTTCCTTCAAATTAAAGACAGCAAGACTGTGAGTTCTTAGGCTGAGGAAGAGATCTCAAGAAGAGGATGGGTCCAAATACCAGTAAGGTTGTGATCTCTCTTATCATATTCCTGAACTTCCAGAATATCAAAAATTATTGCATTTATTTCCTGGAAGGACCCAGCCTGGGCTGGAGATGGCTACAGAGCAGGGAGTTCAAACCTCACATCGCCTATGCAGGCAGGCAGGGAGGCAGCAGAGATGGGCACTGTAAGTGCACCCACACATAATTCTGGGATGGGTTCCTGTTCTCTCCCTGACATCCTTTTTGTCCTGTTGTCTTCAGAATCTGTATTAACCAGGGCAGACATCTGCAGTGAGCTCCAGACAAGAGAAAAAAGACAAAAATATTTCATCAAATGGAAGTGTGGTTCTGTCTGGCACACAAGAACTGTATAAAGACTAAGACAAGCAACTGCTTGAGATGTGCGTCCATCAGATACTCCAGGAAAAGACAGCACCATTCCCATTCTCACTAACCCTTTGCCCATACTCAGTACCAGGATGCCCAGCCCAAGGCAGTTACAGGTGAATGCCAGAGTCTCATTCAGTGTATACCCCATCACCCCCTCTCCTTCAACCCCCCAGTGATGCACACATCCAGGCTGACAGCCTGTGCCTTGCACAGGTCTTGTTCCATTTTAAAATAAAGGGGTAGGAATTAAGTCAGTTTTGCCAGTTCTTTTAGTCCCTAGTTTGGAAAATCAGATTGTCTTGTGTATCATGCATGTTTTGGCAACTGACAGAAAGCCAGTGGGACTAAACCTGAAGCTTTTAAACAGCCTAAAAGAGCTTCCTTTAAGGATGCAGCTCCTGCAGCCCACTGGTACCAGACAGCATAAAGTTAGCAAGACCACAGTCCTAATGACCAACAAGGTAAAAGCATCACTTTCTAATGAGTGGCAACCACCTTGGTATACCTAAGGTTAGATTCTAGCTACACAAAAAGCTCCACTCTCCTGGCAAAGGATACTGATGTACACCATGCCAATATCTGAAGGTCTAGCCAGACAAATTGGCATTGCACAACCTTTTCTATGTTGCTAGAGTTTCACTGGATGACAGTGGAAATACTTACTAGAGCAAACCATTTTTATTCCCGTAGCTCTGTGGAGAAGTGATACAGTTTACTAGCACATCTATTTAACATACCTGTGTTGACAGTTGTTTGGAAATAGGATTGTTTGGGTAAAATGTGGTCTTCCCCTCAGGGAAGAGACTTGCCAAGGCTAAAAAAGAAATCATTAAATGAAAGCTATTGCAGCTGCAGCAGTGCAGCTCTGTGACTCATGTGCCCCAGGGTCTGTCACTGAATGCCCCTGCAGCAGGGACTTGCCAGGAGTTGCATTCACTGAGACAAGCTGCTAAACAGCAGGCAGGTGAGAAAGTGAAAATGCAATGTAAGCCAATGCTTACAGCCAGACTATTTATCCACAACATGCAGAACTCATGCATAAAGATATGTCAAGGTATTTAATTTGTAGAAAAGTCCCAGATTTTATGCAGGGAAAATCCTCTCTGATCAGTATGCACGAGAAACAGCAGCATTCTAGTTGCACTTAAGGGGATGACTGAACTCCTCTTCAATTAGAAAGGGGTAAATAAGGCCACCAGTCAAACCTGGGTCAGAACGGTGACCTTCATGTTCCTTAAGCAGAATCTGTGGTCTGAGACCAATGCAGAACATACAGCTTTTTCTCTGGGGCCTCTGAGAAGGTTGAGAAATGCTCTCCCACCATGGTTAGGGCCAAGGGAGTGCAGGACATATTCCTGTAATGTGTCAATCATGAAAAAATGTTCCTACTTTCCAATACTATGAGCAAAACACACTGACAGCTCTTCATCATGACAATGGCTGAGACATAGTCAGAGCCTACCTGTGTCATGACAGAAACCTCTCCTCTCCATCCCAGCAGCATCCCAATACAAAGTCTGATGCTCAGAAGTACTCAGTCTATCTAGATGCTGATAGGTCAGACATATTTAACATTTTTTTTGTGCTGCCCTCTTCTTCTCCATGTTCCCAACATCACTGCAAGCCACAGTATGTAGCAGACTAGAACAATCTGAAGGAATACCACATGTTTATTGGACACACAGCCCTTGAGAAATTAAGCTGCAAAGCTTCAGCAGCTAGAGCAGCTTTCAGCAAAAACTGTAAATCTACAATTGCTTCTACCCTAACCCAGTTCAAACAGATTTTCATGGAAACAGCAGAAAGGCACAGCTCCAACACCAAGGTCAGGCATTTCATCAAATTTCAAGTTTCCATCAAAGCAAAATAAAACATTTTTACATCCTCAGAAGAAAGGCATAACAATAACGCCAACAATTTTCATAAGGTCTACTTTTAAGTAAACACCTAGCATAGAGTAAATCAGTCCAAAGGTTTCAAGTTGGCTTGGTTGGAGCCAAGCAGGCCTGCTTGGTCTTACAATGAACAGCATCTACAATTCTAGTACTGAATGGATTTACTAGAACTGACAAACTGATATCAACATTAGAAACGAGCTGCCTTTTCACTTGTAGAAACATGGAAATGTCTCAAAAGTCATGAAACAAAGATAGGATCTTTTTAGAGCATAAAAGAAAGCCTGAATTCACCCTGTAAAAGCATCATGTTTTAACTGGTCACCCTAACAATTAGTTTGTGAAGGTATGAAATCAGTACTGACTGGACTTCTGTGATTTGCATATTAATTAGATAGTTTAGCATATTATGAAACACAGTTGTCATTTACATTAACCTTTGGACACATAACCTTGCTCAAATACTGACCAGCTACAGAAAGTAGTTCAGATAACACCCATCAATCAGGACAAGATATGTCTACCCCACAGTGTAAAGTGCTCACTTCACATTTGGCTTGGAGGGAGGACAGAAGTTGCTTGCATTGTCCTGAAAAAGATGCTGTAGAAACATTCCGGTCCCTTCCATGAGGAAAGAAAAAGAAAGCAAAGGACAGCTAAGCAGTGTTAAAGATATTTAAAATAATTATTTCTACTACAATAGAATCTGGACACATCCTTGTGCTACACGTGAACACATAGTAGAAAAACAGCATCTGCCAGCAAGTGATTAGAGTACAGATAACACGGATGAAGAATGACAAAAAGGAAGTTCTGTATGCACAGACCAGATTGTGCAGATAGGAAGAGAAGCAAAGACACTTTTGGTAACTGGCCAAAGACCAGACAGACTCTAAAATTGGAAGGAAAAGAGTCCAGATCTCTTAAGTCCCAGGTAATGGTTGATCTGCAGCATCATCTCCCTCAACTTACATTACCACAAAGGAAGGCAGGAACTGTACTGAGTGATTGAAAGAGGAGTCATTCAGGACATGCCCCATTCCATGGGGCTAAAATGGAATGGAACTCCATTCCATTCTCAGGTTTTTTTGAACGAATGACAGAGAGACTCCAAAGAGACTCCAGTTCTCTTCCTCGAGGCAGGGTATTTACCTGCTTTCTTGCTAAAATACAGCAGTCCATGGACTACAGGTCCATGAGAGGCAGAGACAGGTTATGGGAAAATGTGGCAGTTTGTGAATGCTGTAACAAAAAGTTTTAACAAGGCCATTGTGGTGGAGAACAGCTAACAGGAGAGACCAGGTTGTAAATCTTCTTGATGGCAAGGTCAAAGAAAGAATGCTGTCCTTTTTTCTTAATTCATACAGCATAAAGGGGTGAGGTGATCACACTGCAAAAATTACTTTCCCCATCTGAGGGATCTGCAGGTCATTTGACCACTGAGATTTTAAATCAGTGACTTAACATTTCTCAAAACACAGCTATTAAACCCAACAGCTGCTGGATGAAGTCTTCCCTCTCAACTATAAACAAAGTACAAATATTTCTACTCACTGTATAGATCTGTTTCATCCAGAATTTCAGACTTGATGATCTCTTCAATGACATCTTCTAAAGTGACAATTCCCAGGACTTCATAAAAAGGATCCCCTTCTCCTTCATTGTTTACTCTTTGTACTATAGCCAGGTGAGACTTGCCTGCAAGGAGACAGATCAGTAATTTAGACATTTTAGATGCTTCCAAAAGATCAGAAATTATAGCAGAATTAAAGACACACTGGTATAAATAAAAAGGCCGGTGTCAGGCTTCATGAAGAAAGAAACAAAGTTTAAGAGATGCTTAAAATAATAATCTGACTTTTGTCTGAGAAATGCATTCCTGGGTCACATAAATCCACCCAACACACTAAAGAAGAGCTAAAGAGATCAGTGTTCTCTTTCTAATGTCTTTCCCAGTGAAATTGTCACCTTGGCATTGAATTCACTACATTATCTTCTTGATGGTTGTTCCACTTCTTTTCTCTCACACTGGCAGAGGAAGACCAAGCTGGAACTCTCCTTTGCAGCAAGTTCCTGTGGATGTTCTCCTCAACTTTGGTAACAACAGCAACAACAGCCAAACCACAGAAGCACGTGGACAGGGTAGAGCTGGGGAGAAGAGGTCAGCCCAATCCATGAGTTACTCTTCTCCTCCTCTCTCACTCCAAAATAATATATTTAGACGTGCTCCATAAAGAAGGGGTTTTATTTACAAATTAATTAATTAAAATATTCAAAATTGCAGTGTCTGAACAACAAAGATACAAGATAAAATGAGACAGGCTACTGACTCTAAAAATCCCTGAGCTGTGCATCATTCACAGTGTTTTTGATAACTCCTAAAGCCCTTTCTGCCACAGGAGTAATAATAGCATGACCCTTCAAATCTGCTTTGATACCCTTGGTTGGAAGCTTCCCTAGCTGCTGCCATTGAAAGCTGGTCCTCTGTAAAACTGCCTGTAACATGCATTCAGAAGGTCCACCAGACACATTTTGAACTATCAGGGGGTAAGTGTTGTCTCACATTCTTCTTCTCTAGTCTCAAAAATGATACTTATCTCCATCAGTGGAAGATAACCAAAATAGTTCAACTTTGCTTAGACCCCTTTATAGGCAATAATGTCTGCATATTTTAAGATTCAGATTATTAGACTAACAAGCATTCAAACTATTCCAACCCAGACTTACTCATGCTGAAAGAATGAAAATATCCCAAGCAAATTAGACGAGGGAGGAAAACTTATCAACTACTGATATAAACATTGCATCAGGTCAAGCCAATTCACTTTGGTAAGTTTTTCACATCTGCTTTCCCAGGGACCCAACATAAGCAGTTAAAAACAAATTCTTGGTGAATGCTGTCTGTCGAAAGTTAAATTCTTTTGCTATTCCCAGCTTGTGATCATTTAAAAGGAATTTTCCAAAGCAGGGTCTAATATTAGACTCAAAATGAAGTTTCCATTCCACTTAGGCGATATTCTCACCAAAGTAACTACTGCATAATCTGATTGTCTTGGAGCTACTCGTTTAGATGCAGATGGACATACTTTAAATACCAACTCCACAGCACTGCCCGAGTCTTATCTTGAGGAAACCTTATTCTACAGTGAATTAAGAGAGAGATGATTTGTGATTTTAAGGGATCAACACTCATATTGTACTGAAAGCCTTTCACTGTGCCAGGTTTTATTTCTTTACATTCCTTGCAAGACTTCCAGCTCAATGAACAGCACTTAAAAAAAAAAAAAAAAGTTACTTCATAAAAACATGAAAGATTTAAGTACTATTATCATGGCTGTCCCCCTGTAATTTATTACTGCAATTACATTCTTTCAATATAATGATGTTGAAGAACTGTGGCACAAAAAAAATTCACATGGAGGAACAAAATATTGCAATTCATTTTCCAGTGCCTGCTCAGATACTATATGTTTGCTTTTAAGACACAAGGCATAACTCCTTCAAGAGCCACTTCTATCACAGATCAGAGCACCTTATTTGCACATGCTCATTCAGGTGGTAATTCCCAAGGATCACCATTCTCACATATTAGCACATGGGAAGAGTGCTCAGATCTGTACCTCAGATCAGGTGGATAAAATCAGAAAACCAAGTAACATTGCTATCCACTGGGTGCTTTGGCTTTGATCTGAATCCCCAAATTACAGACTCCTCCTCCACTTCTGTACTGACCATGATAAAGTGGAACTGAGTGATAAAATTTTACATTTTGAAAAGGACAGTCTTCCTAACAATGGAGTCCTGGACACATCTACAAGCAACAGGACAGATATATGGAAACAGGAGCTGAGGGGCTGTAATACTAAGGGAAGCTGTGCATGACTTTCAGCCACAAAACCAGTTACAAGCCCTTTCCCTCAAGGTGGCCCCACCAAGAATGTAGGATCACTATAATGTTTGGCTCTCCCCATTTTAGCAGCCGCAGCACCTTGATCCAACTCACGGTACCCAACGTGAGACAACTGACCAAAATCTGTTCCAGCTACTGCTCACTTATGCAAAATGAGCTGATAAGGAATTACTCATTACTCACGGATCACTGTCAGCCATTTTGCACTTCCTACAATGACAAAGAAGGCTGGAAACATTTTTTCTGGCTCTGACATAATCTCTGCTTTTTGGCTTTATTATTTAGCACCCAAAACATTAAGACCATTTAAATTTGTCATAGTTTCAAATGTCTTTGGACTTTTTGGTGGGTAGAATCAATGTTCAGCTCCACTTTCATTATTAAAACTATATGTTGAAGAGAGTTTAAATGTTGAAAATAGATAAATTATCCAAACACAGGCTGACACTGACCTTTTTTCCCTCTCAACTGTCAAATTTTCCTGTTCCTGGGTTTCATGAACCCATCACTTTGTGGAGATCAGATTAATTTAAGCCAATCTAATCCACCTGCCTCTAAAAGGCTTCCTTTTGCTCTCCACATCTTCTCCTTCCCTTGCATTGGCTCCACTGCTCAGGCAGTCACTTGATGAGACAGACCAGATCTGAAAATTACATTTCTTGGGTCTTTGTAAGTTAATTTTGATCCAGGTGGGATAATTTGCCAGAAATAATCAGACACTGGAACAAGCATTGGTGCTGGTGACGGAGGTAGCGTGAAGATGCATTCCTGGACTGGCTGCCCTCTCAGACTGCTGCACAGGTGACTGCAAAATACCCACCATGTATGGGACTAATTATGGCAGAAAAGGCTAAGGGAAAATCGGGACAAGTGCAAAGACTTCTTTATACATTGTAAAAGAGAACAACTCAGCATGTGCCCAACTTTAAAAGTGGCCTGTGAGTAAAATAATGGCTCCTCTGAGTGTTTTAAATAAAAATTGGCTACAGCTTTAGTTAAAGACTTAATCAGGCTACTGGTATTTGTCATACTGTTTCATTCAACTGAGAAAGAGGTTTCAATTTTATTTTCCACTGCTAAGGACATACAATACATATCCAATAAGGAGCTGAATAAAGTAAGCATCCAGGTAAGGAAACCTGCTTTGTCTGTATTTTTCCTGGGGCTTTGAGAGCAGCACACAAATTAAACAGGGAGAGCAAGTGTGGATGGAAAAGATATAAATAATTTCTATACTTCACTGATTTTCTGGCCACAGTCTCTAACCACACTATATCTACGATATTAATCTTACTCTAATCACTTGTTTTAAGTGTTGATGAAATGAGATTTAGCAAACAGGCAGCTCTGCATCATGGCCAGATTTGGTGATAAAGGCAGAAATTACCTGAATGATGTGTAATAAGCAGCACCAGGGGAGAAGGTGGGCAGTCCACTGACCTACCACTTCTCCATGGACACAGGCCTGCAGCGCTTGCTTTCTGCATCACCTTCCCCCCTCTGCAGCAACAGGTGGAAACATCAGCAATGGAGCTGATATACGTACATGGCTTCAGACACAAGCTGTGAGAAATGCTAATCCCTCACCTACATGCAGGGGCAACTAAAGGACCAAGGAATTTCACAAATCCAGTCTCATCCCATTGCTCAAAATCTTGCTGCCTGGCTTGGATTTTGCTCTGTACTGCAACTACTGATTAATTGATTCAGTTAATTAAGAAGCATGAAGATGCTTAGTGAAATCCGCATGAGTCAGTGAACCTAGAATGAGCTCAAGAGAGTCCATGTGATTGACTGGCCATGCAGAACAGCTCTGGAAGAAATGCTTGAAATACTGATTCTCTTACAGTACCTCGACCATTCCTTGAAAAAGATACGGAACAAAATAATTCCCCTTTGATCCTAACTGAGGCATTTATACATTTAGAGCAAGGATCTTGAGAATATTGCCATGAAGATCAAACTAGAGATGAAAATAACTGACCAGGCTCAGCATCTGCTCTGGTCATGACAGAGGGTCTTGCCTATATGAAGAGTTTTGCTGTATGAATAAAGCTGCACTCACCCACTCTCACATGCCACTTCCCCACACACAGACAAGCTTAAGGAACAGGCTGATGGGAACATTATCAAGCTCAATAAATGCAAACACAGTCATGAAAATGAGAAAAAATAACCCCCATATATTGGTGCTAGGGACTGACTGGCTGGGTCTGCAGAAAATGACTCCATGGTCCTGGTAGACAAGCTACAGGTACCATAATAGGCTACAGAGATGACCAAGCTAGATTCCTCTTGGAGATAAGATTCTGATGGGACAAGAGGCAATTAATACTAGTTGCAAAAATGGAAACTCTCCTTAAATAAGGAAAACTTGTTCCTTATGAGGGTGGTCAACACTGGAAAGGGGCCCAGAGGGGCTGTGAAATCTCCATCTTTGGAGGTATGCAAAACTCAGTGAGCTGAGCCAGCTTCAAAGGTAGCCTGCTCTGAAGAGGGGGTTGGACCAGATGACCTCTGAAAGTCCCTTCCTAAATTATTCTGCAATTCAAAGAGACTTAGAAGAGAAGCCTGACTGAAATCCCAGCCCAAACTCAATTTCTGACTTCCCATTCCTGAATTCCTGCTTAGGAACATGAAAATATTGCAAATTTTTCAGTATGTAAGGATGATATGTAAAGACAGCACTAATTTTTACTGATATGGAATTACCACAATGGGCCTTCTGTGTGAGCAAAAGTAATACCAACATTACAGTACTAGCCAGACTACACTGCAGAAAATTATA